AACTGGTTAAATTGATCTTAGTTGCCTTGTGGCCTCCACGTTGTTAGCATTCATTTTGTTCAGAACCATTCCTTGGGATTTCCCTGGAACCTCCAGAGCAGTGGTTCTCAACCTTCCTAATGCTGCGACCCTTTAATACAGTTCCTCATGATGTGGTGACCCCTAATTTCATTGTTTCAAATTGAACATAATTAAAGCATAGTGATTAATCACAAAAACAATATGTAATTATATATGTCTTTTCCGATGGTCTTAGGTGACCCCTGTGAAAGGGTCGTTCGACCCCCAAAGGGGTTGAGACCTACAGGTTGGTGGCCCACAGGTTGAGAACCGCTGCTCTAGAGCAAGCACTTATGTCAGTTGCCATAATTAATCGATCCACCTGATTCTTTTTTAACTTACCTGTGGGGTGGGGATGGGGGGAGTGAACAGAGATGGGAAAGAAAAAGGAAATTGTGTGAAAGCTATGTTGTATCAGTAGGTTAATTTACATACCTGTTTTATATCTAAGCTACATATTTAGGAAGTTTAAAATGATTAACTTTTTTCTGTGTTCAGGAACATGTTAAACCTATGCTTCAGAGATTCTAGACCAGCCGTGGGCAAACTACGGCCCGTGGGCCGGATCCGGCCTGTTTGAAATGAATAAAACTAAAAAAAAAAAAGACCATACCCTTTTATGTAATGATGTTTACTTTGAATTTATATTAGTTCACACAAACTCTCCATCCATGCTTTTGTTCCGGCCCTCCGATCCAGTTTAAGAACCCATTGTGGCCCTTGAGTCAAAAAGTTTGCCCACCCCTGTTCTAGACCATCTTATTTAAATTATTTTAGTATTTTTATTACTTAAAAAAGAGAAAATATTTTTAAAAATCAGTCCCCACAACATTTTGAATATTATATATTTGTAAGACCATGTTTATTTGGAAAGAAATCATGTGATACAAAGTAGTTAAACCTTTTCTCTTTTTAAAATAAAAGTTGTTTGCCCAAGCCAGGTGATTCAGTTAGTTGGAGTGTTGTCCCATGCACCAAAAGGTTATGGTTTCAATTCTGGTCCGGGCATATATCTAGGTTGTTGTTCAGTTCCCAGATCGATGTTTTTCTCTCTCTCTCTCTCTCTCTCTCTCTCTCTCTCTCTCTCTCTCTCCCTATTCCTCTCTTTCTAAACTCAATAAAAAACATATCCACGGATGATGATTAAAATATAAAAAATGAAAAAAAAATGAATAATTAAAAGTTGTTTGCTTTGCTCTTGAGCAAATAAATGTTTCTTCTTGTTGTATTGCCTGAAGTCTGTAAGACTTGATGATTGTGGTCTGAGTTAACTTTTGAGGTATATAGTTTTTAAATAGTTTTGTTTGCTTTTTTGGACAGATAATATATTCTAGTGTATTTTAGATGAAGAGCCAGACAAGGCCAATTAACATAGTGTATTAACCTTTTATAATTTATAAATTACTTTTATAGTTTCTATGGTCCCATTTGATCTATGAGTCAGGACAGATATTATTCTATTTTATTTATGAGGACCCTGACTACCTAAATGTACAAACCTCATTGATGGTGGAGCGAGAGTTTGATGACTCTTACAACCACTGATATAGTCTCCCCTTGTCTGTGTGGTGTACGTTCCAAGACCCCCAATTTGATAGTACCAAACTCTCTATATACTGTTTTTTCCTGTGCATACATACCTATGATAAAGTTTAACTTATAAATTAGGCACAAGAACTCACAACAATCCTATATAATAAAAGCCTAATATGCACATTGTCCCCTGGGGCGGTCGTTCAACCGGGAGACCAGGAGTTCGACCAGTCACTATGATGTGCACTGACCACCATGGCGTGGTGCGGAACACGGTGGGCCTTGGCGATGCAGCGCTGGCAGCGGGCAGCAGTGGAGGTGCTGCCAGCCCAGATGGGCCCCGATGAGAGCGGGACCATGGTGGGATGGTGGAGCAGGTGAGCAGGTGGCGCCAGACCAAGGTGGGTGCAAGCAGAGGCCTTGGTGCTTCCCAGGGCCCAGAGGTCAGCTGGGATCTGCCCTTCCATGCCAGACGCCTGTGCTTTGGTCACCGGCCAGGCCTAGGGACTGCATCCATGCACGAATTTTGTGCACTGGGCCTCTGGTAACTAATAATAAAATAGAACAATTATATTTTAGTAGAAGTTATGTGAATGGTGTCTCTCCAGTAATTTTAATATTTTTTAGTCCAAACCATCCGTTACTTGCAGTAAATAGTTTGGTGTCACTTGTTTCAGGGGATCACTTGCTGAAGTCTTTGTATAGGCTCAATACTTTCTGGTGCAACACAGTGCTGTCAATAGGAACACATTTTCTGTTATGTTTACTACCCACAAATGTAATGACTTTTCTATATTAACTAACCACCCAACATGCATTGTGGCCATATCTTTTGCAGTTTGAGATGCAATGCAAAACTACATGAATTTGTTATTCTTCTTCACAATTTCATAGACAGATTTGTTTTTACCATAGATCTTAGCAACCTCAACATACAAGTTTTTTCTTTCCTTATTAAGTTGAGAACTTTCGCCTTTTCACTTAGAGGAAGCACTTTCTGGCTTCTTATTGTCATATCTGAATTGCTAGCATGACTACTCTTGCATTTTGGGGCCATTATTTTTTCTTTCAATTAGCAATAATTGTGCCTCGAGTAAATCTCATTGGTTACAATACTGCCACTGCACAAAGCTGGGGCCATTATTAAGTAAAATAAGGGGTTACTTGAACACAAGTACTGCGATTCTCCAACAGTTGATCTGATAACCAAGACGGCTACTCAGTGACCAGAGGGTGGGTAGCATATGCAGCGTGGATATGCTAGACAGAATGATGATTCATGTCCGGGCAAGATGGAGTAGGGCAGTGTGAGATTTCACAACAGTTCACACAATTTAAAACTTACTATGAATGATATATTACTTGGATTTTCCATTTAACTTTTTCAGACCATGGTTGACCATGGGTAACTGACCCTATGGAAAGCAAAACGACAGATAAGGGGGGTACTACTATTGTGGAAAAAAGCTCTGAACTGGGAGTCAAAAGAGCATACTTATGAATTTATAAATAGTTACGTATAAACCAACAAATGTTCACAAGTTTATCGTTTTTATTAGATACTTTCTCCCATTTTAAGAATTAGGGTGAACTTCACATATTACCTCACAACATTATTGACCCAGTATGTAGTTCTGTGTCGTATGCTGTGGTATCTTTGTTCTCTTAAATGAACTCATTCTTATTTAGGTGCTTCATGCAGACATCTGTACCCAGGATTCACTTCTGCAAAATGCTGATGTTATTATAATGAATAACGTCTTCGAATATTTTCTTGACGAGGCAGAACAGGCAAGGTATGTTATTTATTCAGGCAAGAAGTCTGTTGTTATCCAACAAAGTATGAAAGGGATTGGTAGAGTAGAAATGTTTTCATATTAAACTTTTAAAAATGACCTCAACTGTGAGATTATATTCAAAAGGAAATATGTTCTGTATAAAATAAAAATAAACTGTCTGACTTTGTAAAGTATTGCATCTCATTTTAGGCAGATATGATATTTTATGACCTAAGCATTTGCTTAGCCGTCTGGGATGAAATAAGATATCACTTCCTAATGGGTCTTTATACTTTTTTCTGGCCTCAGGTTTTTTTTCCCCTTAAAAAAAAATATGTCATGATGCTATCCTATCATAAAATGATGGGAATTAACTAATGCCTATAATTGAATATAAAATAAGATATAAGAGTATTAACCAAAATTGTGATTATCAAACTTGAAAAATGCTTTTAAGGATAATAAATAGTAGAAGTTTATTTCACTATTCAAGTAATGAAAAAATTAGCAAGTCTGTGATCATTTTTCTGACTTCTCTGCCACATTTGAATGCTTTGTGACCCATAAGGACCTATAGGTTCCTTTGATTAGAAAATTCCTCTAGTCTGTAGTCAGACACCAACTTTATGGCTACTTAGGCTTGCTGACTTCTTACTTATAAGGGCATATGCATACTTTAGATACAGGAAAGCTCCTTTCCATTGGCACGAAAGGGAATTAGATGAATGTTTGGATTACCTCAGAGAAATGAAAAAGTGCATATAATACAGCCCTTAAACAGTTAATACTTAGTGGAATCCTGAATGACTAAACCTCTTTATTCAGCCACCTGTTCACCTTCTGTATTCTGCCCCTGACCACCACTTTCTCTCCCACACACACATATGCACACCCATAGCCATTAGGTTAAGGTCACTACAAAATTAATAGTTTAAATAGTTTAAAAAAAAAAACTGCTTCAACAGAAAGCTAATCATATAATCAAATTTCAGCCAGAATGAGGGGTGATTTTTTTGGTCACAGACTAAAGACCAGAAACACAACATGTGCTGTACTGTGCCAGCACAGCCAAGGGTTCCGTGAGCCTGAGGAGGGGCGGTGAAGGATTAAAGAAAAGACAGACAAAGAGAATGTAGCTGGGGCTCGGTGGAACTCCCGTGCCTGGATGAGGACACAGAAAGAGATCCAGCCAGCAAGCTGAGGCTTTATTTTATAGTCAGAGATACACAAGGTAGCGGTCACCATAGTTACAATGTTCTTGTGAATTTCACTTGTTTAGGCAGCACTTGCTGCATCTCCCACAGCCCATTAGCTACCTAAGAACAATCTAGGGAGCGTCATAAGGTCAAGCTTAATTATGGTAAGAGGGCTGTGCCTTCTAAGCTGGGACTTGTTTGTGGCTCTGCCACAAGTCAATCCGAGGCTTAACCCTATAGCTACTCCCTACAATGTGCAAAGTTATTTTAATTGTAATGCCCTTTTTAGACTTAATTTCCAGTGGACAAAGTATGATTAGCTTTTTATCTTTTTAAATTAATGATAGGTATTCAAAATATTACATAATTGTTGGAAAGTGAAATATTACCAGGTTTGTGTTGTATAAGAAGTTTTAAAACACCCTAAACTCTCTGGAGATTTATTATATAAAGAGTTTGAATGCTGAGGAATGATGAAAGCTACTGCAGAGCTTGATACTGGAAATACTGCATATTTGCATTATTTTCAAAACTCTCTTGGTGCATTTATTCACAAGCTCTACATGATTCACTAAGTAGATATTGGCCACCTGTGTTAGTTCAGTCATTTTCCCTCAGTCTAGCAAATGAATTCTAAATCTAGCTAGGTTATGTGACTCTCATAGTTAATTATTTTATCTTCATCTTGAATGACAGTTCACAGGAGAAAGATTAGAAGATATGGTAAATCATTCTGATATTGGAATTGTTCTGACAAAACTGGTCATTTACTCATTAATTCTATATTGTAGTAAGTAAAAGAGAATAGATGGCACAGCATATACCCTCCAGAGATTTTTAATCTTAATCAGAATCTGAGGACAAGTGGAATGGTACCGCTGCTATAGGAGTTAGTGCATAAAAGAAAACAAAAATATGTCATAATAATAGAAATGTGTACTCAGGAAAGGCTCAGGCTTCAGAATAAGTTAGATCTCATTATAGCATAACACCCAGATTGTAAAGTAAGTATTAGTTTAAAAGGTACTTCTAGCTCTGGCCGGCTTGGTTGATTGTTGTCCTATCCTGGTGAGAGTGTGCACCTCTGAGAAGTTGGTCAATGTTTCTCTTTCACATCAATGTTTCTTTGTCTCTCCCTTCCTTTCTAAAATCAATAAAACTGTTTTAAAAATAAAATAAAATAAAAGGTGCCTCTATGTATTTTCTTAATAGGTGAAACAGATACAACTACTACCATGACAGCTTATCAGAAATATTAAGTTCTAATTTTGAGAGTCATGCCCAGTATACTTAGCTTCTTCGTTCTTTTTAAATAAACTTATAAAATGTCATTTTTAAGGAACCACTGGAAAAAACACACGCAAACAGCTCTAGCCCAACCATGGTGATATTTATTGTCAAACACTGCTACATGATTTTAGATCTAGCCTGAGAAAAAAAAAATTGTATCATTTTATCTAGTTAACTCCAGAGTGTACTAAACTTAATATCCATTGCTATAACTAAAATAAGTGCAAATGACACAGCTGCTCACCTGCCCCACTGCAAGGGATGCACATCCCTGCTTTTTCTGACCATCGGTCCCCAGTAGTGGGGTGCACTTTCAAGATTCAGCGTAGAAATCCAGTTCATGTCTGCACTAAAGATTAATCAGAACTGGTCAGACACTGCCCTGTGACACACACATGCACATGGCATTCCATCATGCTTTAAACCTGGCTGGTCCCACTAAACTTCTCAGGTGCCATATTGTCCAGAAGTCTTTCCATTGAATATTTATGGCAGCCAAATAAAGTATGATTTCGCTTTTGATTTACTGTTAGTTTTTGCTCTGTGTCTGGTTTCTATAGCCTTTCTCCAATACCCTGCCCCACCTCTACCCCTCAGCCCAGTTCCCTTCTGCAGGACCATTATTTTTAAAATACTTTGTAAGAAATTTAAGAGCTGCTAACTGATACAGCTTGGACTTCTGAATTGGTCCTGAAACTGAGTTTTGGCCTCACAATGCCTTGTAGTAACTCAAATCATGATCTCGTTAAATCTTGTCAACTGTAACTTCACAATTTTCCCAGCACCTCTCTGGAATTGAAGAATTGACCAATTTCTAGTATGTTACTGCAGTCCTATTTTCTGCAAGCAAGCAATTTTGCTCATTTGAGATACCACTGCATTTTCTTTTGTCATCGGCATTTTAAAAGAACTTGCAGTATCTGGTAAAACCTGACATAATGCTTCTAATGTGTTATAGAGCCTGGGAATGTATCAGCCACAACGTAAGGAAACAAGGATCGTTATTGGTGACAGTGCCAAGTCTTGAAGAGTCTCTCTCAGGTCTTCAGGTATGTAAGCCTTCCTCGCATTTTTATCGTCAAAACTTTTCTTCTACTTTTTTCCTGATAGCTGTTAACAATAATCTAGAAATGTTCTGTCTGAATATAGTGACAGATGATAAAAAGAATAGCAAGAATTTATGGCTTAAGGACTGGTTCGTGGTTAGTTAACTAGCCTCAAGAGCTCTCAAGTTGCCATTCTTACCTCCATTTGAACTCCTTTGCTTCTCCACCCAGTTGTTCCAGCTTT